GATAATTTAAGATTCAAGTAGATGAAAAATGAGAGTTTTTCTATGTTCGAAGCTCATTCTATAGTTTTATAAGTGGTGAAGTGTTTGGTTTTCAATTATTAACTAAAATAGTAATAATGTCTTTTAAACTATCCAATATTTTGTAATTATATAATATATTTAAGGGCATCATTGTCTTTTACCATTCAAAAGGTTAATGTGATAATTTTCAAGTTTTTAAAAGTCAAAGTGGAAATAAGAACCTTTGACCAGATTAATTTTAAAAGTACCCCCTGCTCTGCCTCCCACACTCACCCATAAGTAAAATTAAGATTTTGATATACCTAGCCTTTTTATAAGATACAATTTTTTTAGGCCTTCAGCAATATTTTTAAATTTTTAAAGGGTGATTTAGCCCCCGTTTGGCCCACTTTTTGAAATAAAAATCTGTGACTTAGTGTTTTTTTTGAAAAAATTTCGATTTACGCGTAATATTATTTTATGGAAGATTGTATAATTGAAATTGGAGAGAGAAAAATGTAATGCAATTACATCCTTCTTAACTAAAGTCACGCCAAAAACAGTTGGAGTCCTATGCGTTTTATTCAATTCTAATAGATAATTCAATTCAGCATCATTAGTACAAAATATAGGTGGAATCGAAATGGACGAATCCCCTTAACCATTGAATAAATATCTCAACTGCATATCATGCTGAGAAAAATCGACATTCAGTTTATTTTGCGAATAATGGTAACTTCCACATATGATGTACTATCTGTTTTGAAAATTACAATACAACCACATACATCACTCGTTCATCTCCATCCTCATCTATTATTTTCATTCAATTCGAAATCACCGAAATAATGGACCGGGATTATCATATCCGCATGGCGATATATAATTTTTAAATCAATTACAAAAACAAAAATTCAGATATTTATTTATTTAATCAATTTGTTATTAAAATTATAAGACAATTGCCAAAATAGAAATTAATAATAAAAAAAATTCGTAAAATAGTCGAAAAAAACAGCCGACTGTGGATTGTTTTACAACCGACAGTCAACTGTTTTAATCCGACAGTCGACTTAAACAGCCGACTGTCAGTCGGCTGTTAATTAGAAACAGCTGACTGTCACATCGGCTGTTTAACAGCCGACTGACTGTTAGTCGGCTGTTAGACAACCGTCTGTCACTGTTAGACAGTCTTATGACAGTCGGCTGTCGACTGTAGGCTGTTAGACAGTCTTATGACAACAAGTGCTCCCCACGTGAATTTAAAAAATGTCAACTCATGATGCCCACCTTCTATTGTGAGTAGTAAGTAAATGATTTTGTAAAAAAAAGTTTATAAGTGTAGCATGGTCCAAAAAATTATTTTGTATAGATACATGGAGCATCAAATGATACTGGTTGAGAATATAAGATCATAATAGTTATGCAATTATCTTATATGTTAAGATTTCAAATATTAAGATGGAACCAAACACTTGATGGTATTTCTTTGAGAGACATTAGCAAAGAAAATGTCTTTGCTATAAATCCACATAAATGATGATATGTAATCATCATACTTTGAAAAATGTTTAGAGATATATTTGTTGGTAATATGGAATCTCTAAAATTTCGTAGAATATGATATTTAGTGTATCAAAAAACCCATGATTGAGTTTTGTGTGCTCATAGATGAATAATTTTGAGTTCATATGTAATCTAATATTGAGATTACGAGATAAATGATTTTTATGCATATATAAAGTATGTTGAACGGGTTGAGATTGGCTCACTCACATGAGCGATTGCCTCAGACGTTTTGAGATGTGCTAAGATGAGACAAAGTGATCATGTTGTGTACACGATCCAGACACCTTGATAAGGTATGAAGATGAGATTACAACAAGTTATAAAAATGAATTTTGCTATCTATTAAATTCATTTAGTATCCAGATCAAGTTCTCGATTTGAGATGCCTAGAGAAATGAATATAAGGAGAACTTAAGTTAGGTATCAGAGAATGCCTGAACTAGGGTCTGTACAGTATTATTTGTTTAAAAAGAATATGACATACTTCCTAAGAAATGGAGAAAACATCATAGCACGTGTTTCATACCACGTGTGCTTTTACGACCAATATTAGGTAAATGAGTAAATTGATCCCTGCTTCCTCATTATGTGAGACCCTGTGATTTATGTAATCTCATATATACCCTTATGACTTTTGACTGTTTCTTGAGATTTTATTTTAGTGTTGCTATTTTAGCATGTTGCCAATGACTATGATTGATTCGGTTTGATGGGGCATGTTTAAGAAAGCAGTTGATTTAAAATCGAAAGATTCAAGTAGGAAAGTAAAACTATTTTGACCAACATTTATGTTTGTATTCACTGTGTTTAACCATTTAAGGTATATAACACAATTGTGAATACAATGATACGATATGAGGTTCAATTATGTTTCATAAATACTCAAGCGATTGAATATACTTGAATTAATGTTGGAAAATGAGTTTGGGGTGTAGCGAGACGTGATGTTCCTCTAACAGAGCTACTATATATTCCTAACAGGATTATAGTACCGTGAGCTCTAATATTACTCGCTGATCGCAGGATCTATTTACCATATGAATCTTTGTGAGATAGATTTTGAGAAGGGTATGAGGTGTGGCATTTGTTCTCATTTGTGGTTCGGATCAATCCATCATGTGCGAGTGAGAGATGTTAAAAAATACCGGTCGTGGGTTGCCATGTGGGATGACCTGCCCCACAAGTTAGTAAAATGGTTGGAGAGAGTGGTTTGAATTTGAAATTCAAACCTATAACTTCTCGTAACCTCCTTTTAACTCCTGCATTACTTCCATTGATGATGTTATGGAAGACACGGAAAAAAATGATGGCATAGAAAATGGTGTGAAAATTTGGTTGTAAATTTACGCCAAAATTGGAAAACCCCAAGAACCACATTTTGGACATGAAATCTCATAAAAATGGCATTAGATTGTGAAAAACAATCCCCTTCTATTGTAATCGGGATTGGGACCATTGGAGTACAAGAAAATGTAGATTTTGGAGATTTGAAAGCAAAATAATTCAACCTAGATTTTTGTGATTTCAAGTAAGTATCACTTCTTGAAACTCTGCTATAAGCATGCAAGCACATTTTACAGTGACCGATAGTTATGTGAGGTTGGCCATCGACTATTTCAAGGGAACAAGAGCCAGGCCTTCTTTGAGTTGTACACTTCTTATTACAGCTTGGTCTAGATTAAATTTTCACACAAAAGATTTTGGATGGAGGAAGCCTATTGTATCAGGGCCTGTGGGTTTACCTAAGAAGGAAGTAATACTTACTTGGATAACGGGAAAGAGAGAAAAGGCATAAATTATGCTTCTAGGATTGCTAGTTTCAGCTATGAAGCTTTTCCAAGAATTGATGGAAACACGATCAAAATCTATGGTATGTTCGGTGAGTGGATTAATTAGTACTCGATAATATTAAATAAGAAAAAGAAAGTTAATATTTTTGTTGTATTATTCCGAGCTACATGATCCACACGAATGACCGCGGGGATGACCACACACACTCATACATGGAGTTCGGTATTTTTTTTAATCACTTTGGACCCACCTCGACATGTGAGAGTGCGGTCATCCATTCTGTCAACCATGATATTCGTTTGGCATTTTCCTTAGTACATCTCATGCAATTTACCAAACACATGATTAGTATGTAGAATATCCTCAAGGAAATTTCAATACTATGGTACTATTAAACATAGTGTTGCAATAGGATTGACCGATTTGGTTTTAATTAATTTTAGTACATTTGTTCATTTTAATATATGCACTTAATTGATGTTATGATCAATTAAGGCTTTTACAATATTATGATTTCTATTCCATTTTTAGTACTCAAATAGGGTTTATTTTTTTATTTTTTATTAAGTAATAAAAATGAGTGAACTTGGAGCTTTCCAATTGTTTGCTTATTGGTATTCTATATTCTCTAGTCTTGATGTTTAGTTCGACTTAATTGTACTTGATTTGTGTTCTTAATGATAATTTGACAAACTAGTATTTAGAATTTTATAAGAAACATTTCCTTAAACCATTTATATTTTTGTGTAGTTATAGTGGATCAACTTATTATGAGGCCTTACTTTGGGGACCAAGTGTGCAATTTCTCTATATACTTTTCAGCACAATACCAACGCAAAATCTTGTTATCTTTGAGCAAGGTATCATTTTTGATGTGCCATTTCTATACATTTGACTGCTGCTGTCCTTTTATAGAATCATATTACCAAAAAACAAAATCCTATCAAATGCTTTAACATTGGAGAGTACCGCGTTGAAAGCAAATGTGGGCTCAATATCACTTTGTCAAAATTGAATATTAAGTTTGAAACATGCAAAAATATTTCAAGAGAAAAGTTCACTCGTTATTTTGTGGATTGACTTCGACTTTGCCTAAGGTTACTTCTATCTATCAGTTTTTCAAAACATGAATATAACCTAGCTAGTACATGTATTCTATGAAACTCTTACATTCCTACCAAAATAACGTCTGTGTCTGATACAGTCGGATATCGATACTTTTTAGACACTCTAAGACGTGATCGACAAGTAATATGCTTTGTATTTTTTATACATATGTTTCTTGAGATTTTTCCAAATTAAGAAGAGAGCAAAGGACAGAAAAGACCATCATACAACTTCTAATAATACATGATTTTACGTTCCCTCAAATTCGATCAAATGATAGGTCAAAAAGCTAGACTTTTCCCATTAAGAATATGCCAAGCATAAGTGAGAGACAACGAGGCTAATCGAGGAAAACTTGTTTGGCATGTCATTTATTGTGTCCTATATCGAAAAGCAAGAACAACAATAGAATATTTAAATGTATAATTTTAAAAATATAAACCACCATGTCCTTTAATGTTTTGTCCTTCTATTTTAATAAATTACATGTCACACAGTGCTGCGCGTCCCTGTTTCTTGTCATGTATCTACAATTATAGCAACATTATTCCTGGATTTTTATTCTCTAATAATATTCGCAAACATTCTGCTTAATTCAAATCTATACATATAAATCTTTACTGAGGTGCATATAAATGAACCATAGGCCAAGAACCAAACACGGACCACATACATTCTTGATTACATATTTAGTACGATGTACTAGATATCATAATACAAGATTGTTAGCTAAATTTAATATTGTTGAGTACCATGTAGACCAAGCACGGGAGATGTATCAATAGTTGCCTAGAAGAGGTGCAAAGAAGACCAAGAATGTAGTTTCTTTATTTTCCACACAAGTTAATGTTTCTCTTGGATGGTCTGTAACTCAGTGCACTGAGGCTATAAATGCAAGTATTTTGTTGATTGGATTTGACTGAAATTTCATCTGATGTAGTCCTAACTCCTGGAATATTACAGGAAGAAGAAGATGGGCTAATCCCTGTCAAGCTGGCTCTGCAGGAATTCCCAACTGCTTTATCTCTTGCACATTGAACCCCATCTACAGAAGGCACTTCCAATTTGTATATTCCATGCTTATTTGTAGTTCTGTTCACTGAAAATGATATCTGTTCTGTTGTTCTTGGAGAAATTGCTTTGAACATGCAATCTATTCTAACTTCTGCACCTGCTTAGATCCAAAGACAAACGACAAACAACGAATTAAAACACGGGTTTTTCTTTAAGCAAAATTGTCAATTGAAAAAATGGAAAAAACTATAAGAAATCCTTCTAATGTACAGAAATGGTTGACAATGTTTTTAGCAAATTGCCAGCTATCAAAATTTAATTGGATGCTGTACAAAAAACACAGTTCAACCAGCCAATGCAGGGTTGCCAACTGTACATTTGTAATGCTACATCTGTACAAGAAGCTTAATTCAAACTATGAACGGTCAAGTACTAGTACTGTTCAATCTTCCTTACCGGGCAAGAAGTAGCTGTGCTTGGTGAAGGTGTTGTTGGAGCAGAAGTCACAGTAAACCATGCCCATGACAATGATCTGGGGCTGGGGCTTGGAGTTGGGCTTTTTGGGTTCAACTTGCAAAGGGAATGAGAGAGTTAAAAAGGAAGAAAATATAAAGAGAATAATGGAAGAGGCCATTGTAGAAATTAAACTGAGAGAATTATACTTCGGATAGACTAGAGTATGAATTGTAGGGGTGATGAGTGCCAGTTGTTGAGAATACTTGTTCTGAGCGAAGAGTTGGAACACCTTTTTTCAATGCAGAAACAAAACAAATGCATGTGAATTTCCTTTGGCAGATTGTGTAGCTGATGTGGGGGAGAGATTAGCCTTACCTTTCGTTAATATATTTATTGTGTCAAGATGTTAATATCTTGAGAAAATTACATAAGACTGCCTCAGGTTTATATCAATTGAAAATTTCAGAAATCTTCCTTGAGATTTACTTTTGTAATAGATTCCCTTATCAGCTAAAAGTAAATACACATTCTTAATTTATCCTTTCATTCTATTTTGAAACTGTAAGAAGATCTCCAATTGTGGTTTAAAATAGATTAAATTGTGATTTAAAATTTCAAAGTCGCCTAAAACACGGGGATGGAGTCAAACGTTTGGTATTGTGGGATCAAAAATTAAAATAAAATATTTTTTAAAACAACATATCATTAATGAAAATAAGTTAGTACACTACTACAACTGCAGCTTATGGGTTTTCATATTCTGAAAAATGTCATATAATTACATTATTATTAATATTGTCGAATACATCGTTTTCGATATATGCAACCAAACTATCACTTAATCATTGATCTCTCATCTAATATCGCAGTTGATTCTTGACAATCTTCATTATAGAAAATACTCTCTCCACCGTAACAGTAGCAACTGGAAGAATTAACGCAATGTTACAAACCTGTAAACTAATGGATGCACCTTATTTTTTTAGAATAAAAATATGTAAAATTAAACAAATATGTTATTGATTTGTTATCAAAATGGAAGAAAATTCACAAAAACTAGCAAGAGAAAATCCGAAAATATGAATGGCGGTCTCGAACTCTCCATAGACCACTATGCTGTTTCTTCCCTCTGTTAGGTTTACGGCAAAGTTTAAATGCATATGAAAACCCACGTGAAGTGAATGAGTAGAGAGAAAATGGACTTGGCAAATCGGCAAGATAAAGTTTTGGTTAATTTACAGATTATTAAAATAAAAAAGGGGCTTAGAAATGTACATATTTTAGATAATTTACATATTTAAAAAAATGATAATAATAAAATTTGTGGGGGTGAATTGACCTCACATGACCCCATATGGGTACGTCCATGCGGAAACATCTCCAATGAAGAGATGTAAAGGAAATGCAAATTTTATTTTTCGGTAGAAAATGAAAAAAGGATGTAAATTTAGTTTTTTGAATTAAGATCTTTTCGTTGGAGAAAATTTAAATTTAGATCCATCAGGATGTAAGCGATGATGAAAAGTGATTTAGAAGATATCAATTTAAACCCAATATTACACCATGATTGGAGATTTTCTTACATTATTATATTTAAACTATATATTTTTCTTTTCTTATTTGTTATATATATTTTTCTAGCTTTTCATTTAGATTAAACCATTTTAGCTAATAATATCCTTATATATCTCATTAAAAATATTAAAATATTACATAATTTTTTCTTCAATTGACAAATAATTAACAAATCAACATTAATAAATATTTTTGAATAATAAGTAGCGGCAGTTGAAAATTAGTTAAAAGTTTATATTCCTTGATTCAGCTGCATTTTCTCCAATTTTTGTATTCTTTATGCTCTTTACATTTATACTGTACAAAGTTTAGAATACTAAAGTAAAATTGAAATCATAATATTGAAAATGCTAAAAAGGTTTAAATATTAGATTCTCTTCAGTTCATCTTTTTAATAAACATATTAGATCAATTTTTGTTTATCCAGTAAATGAGAAATCAATATTCACAAAAATATGATTAAGATTAAATGTATTCATATAAAAAGAAAAATAAATAGATAAATTTTTTAAAACTAAAATAATTTATTTTTGCCTAAATTAAAATAACGAAAAAAGAACAAACAAGCAAATAAAAAAACTTATGAAAAAAGAATAAAATAAGAAATTTATGATAGAAGCCGTCTGGACCCCACTATTTCGCATTATAATTTTTCTCTTTTATTTTTAACCACATAATTTTTCATAAAATAATATTACACATAAATAAAAAAATTTCTCTTCATTTTTCAATCACATTTTTCGGAAAAACACTATTCTAAAAATTATAATACCAAATAACCATACAATTTTCAATAAAATAATATTACACGTAAATCAAAAAAATTCATTCTTTTTCAACCATACAATTTCAAAAAAAAAAAAAAAAGAAGGAAAAAAAGGACATTATTTCAAAAATCATAATACCAAATAATGGGGATCAAGCAATAGGGAAGGTTTTTAAAATTTTTGATGGAGTGAATTATCAAGAACCCAAGAGAGGCTTCTGAAAATGTCCTTGTTGAGAAATTGTTCAAAAATCAAAAGGTGTGACGTTTGGAAAAAAAAAAAATGGTGCACAGGCAAAATGCCGTGCGGTTGCACGGCTCTCTCCAGGGAATTAAATCCCTTGTTTAATATAACCATGCGGCCGCACGGTATTAATTTGTGATCTTTTTTTCCGTTTTTAGCCGTTGCCAATTCAAACTTGGTGACTTTTTTACTCATGTTTTGTTACCTTTTCGTGCATTTGAGGCTTGCTTATAAATAGTGGATCCCTATTGAAGGCAAATGGTGCACAGGCAAAATGCCGTGCGGTTGCACGGCTCTCTCCAGGGAATTAAATCCCTTGTTTAATATAACCATGCGGCCGCACGGTATTAATTTGTGATCTTTTTTCCCGTTTTTAGCCGTTGCCAATTCAAATTTGGTGACTTTTTTACTCATGTTTTGTTACCTTTTCGTGCATTTGAGGCTTGCTTATAAATAGTGGATCCCTATTGAAGGCAAAATTAATTGAAAAATATTTGAGAAACATTATCATTCCAAAACATAGATCAAATTCTGATTTTATTCATATTCAAAAACCCTCTTTGTGTTCTTCAAGTTTTGGGAGATAACACTTGTGCTTTGGTGTTAATCTCTTACAAGGCTTGTTATAATCCTACAAACCATTTGCCGACGATCCCTTGAAGCATCCCATACAAAGGAGAGGGGGCAAATACAGTTTGAGGACAGCATATCGTGTTCAAGCTTTCGGTGTTACATTAATTTGTTTGTGATCATTTCGTTCCAGATTTGTTGCAGTATTTTGTTGCTAGTTATTAGTTGTTATTCTTCTCCTCTCTTCATCAATTTCCAACAATCTCAAACTGTAATTGTGCAATGGAGAACGAGACAACTTTGGCAACAATCAAATTAATGAATCAAGACTTGGTACGGTTGCACCGGTTCGATGGAACGAACTACACACGATGGAAAGACAAATTAAAGTTTCTCCTTACTGCACTAAAGATATTCTATATTCTAGATCCAGATTTGGCGCCACTACCGGAACTAACAACTGGAGAAACTGAAGCCATTAGAAATGAAAGACAAAAGCGCCAAGAAAATGAACTTATTTGTCGCGGTCACATTCTCAATGCACTTTCGGATTGTATGAATGATTTATATACAAACACAACATCGGCGAAAGAGATTTGGGAAGCCTTGGAAAACAAATATAAAGCGGAGGAAGAAGGTACCAAGAAATTTTTAATTTCTAAATATTTTGATTTTAAGTTCTTGGAAAGTATTCCCCGTCTACCCCAAATACATGAAATGCAAGTTATTGTCAATAAGTTGAAGGTGGTAAAAATCGAAATACCGAAGACCTTTCAAGTGGGGGCTATAATTGCCAAACTTCCCGGAACTTGGAAATGATACCGGAAGAAAATAATGCATAGTTTCAAAAATTATTCTTTGGAATAATTGCAAAAACATCTTCGGATTGAGGAAGAGTTGAGAATGTGTGACAAAAATGATTCTCATGAGGGCATTTCCAAAGCAAATACTGTAGAGAAATTCGAACCGCCAAAATCCAACAAAAGGAAGTCTCGAAAGAACATTAATAAGTTCAAGAAGAGGACCAAAGGAGGATACTTTGTGTGTGGAAAATCTAAACATTATGCAAAAGATTGTAGACACCGGAAACACAACACCCCCGAAGATAATGTGAATTCCATTCAAGAAGAAATGATTGTGGCCACCATAAGTGAGATAAAAGCTATTAAGGGAAAGGCTTCCGACTGGTGGTATGATACTTGTGCCACGGTACATGTATCATATGACAAATCTTTATTCAAAACATACAATGAAGTGGATGGAGACCAAGAGATCCAAATAGGTAATGAGGTGCGATCCAAAGTGATTGAAAAAGGAAGTGTAGAAACTATCTTCACTTCCGGGAAAATCGTTACTCTTACAAATGTACTACTTGTTCTGGATATGAATAGGAACCTAGCGAGTGGAAATCTCTTAAGAAAATCAGGCATTAAAAGTGTTTTTGAGTCCGTTAGAAGGGGCTATTCTTGTGAAGGAATGGTCAAGCTATGTACTATTGACAATAAAATAAATAAAATTGATTTTGCTTACATGGTTGATTCTTTTTCTTTATGGCATGCTAGATTAGGTCACATAGGTAAGAGTACTATGAAATGTATGAAAAGTTGTGACTTAATTTCTTATGATGAAAATGATGCCATAAAATACAAAACATGTGTAGAATAACAAATGGTTAAAAAAAGTGTTAAGAGGACTTTTAGCATATTAGAATTAATTCACTCCGATATATGTGAATTGAATAGCATGCTAACAAGAGGTGGAAATAAGTATTTCATAACTTTCATTGATGATTATTTTAGATTTACCTATGTCTATTTGATGAAGCATAAACATGAGGCCTTTAATATGTTTAAGACTTATAGGAATGAAGTTGAAAATCACTTAGACAAGAAAATAAAGACCCTAAGAAGTGATAGGAGTGGTGAATACTTTTCTAGTGATTTTAATTCATTTTGTGGACAACATGGCATAATTCACCAAAGTTCTGCACTTAGAACATCCGAACAAAATGGTTTGGCTGAAATGAAGAATAGAACATTAGTTGAGATAGTTAATGCTATGCTTACTTATGCTAAGTCGCCATATAATCTGTGGGGTGAAGCCTTATTAAGTGCAAAAAGAATATCGAATAGGATTCCTTCTAAACATACTAAGGTTTCTCCTTA